ACAAATCTGCAACACTAAACGGCGTCATTCGAGCACGAGCTTTGGGGCTTCAATTTCACTTGTAAAATCTCAGAAGAGCCCGGGAGGCTACGTGCAAATTACAATTTGTACGCGTAAATTTAAGCCGCAGAGAAGCACGCAAAATCACATAATTGGATGAAATTTTTGAGATTATTACTGAAGAGACGGGAATTCAAGGCTTGATGAAGATGGGTTTGGGGGCTGAGATTTTGTGAAGGGATTTCAGAAACCCTGAAAAGCCCGGCTCATATGAATTCAAGGGGCACATACAATTGAAATTTTGAAAATTTTTATAGATTTTTTTTAAGTGATGATTTTTGTGGATCTTTTATAGATCTGTTATTGATTTTCATTTTAAAATTTTTGAAGACTTTCATTTGAAATAGAAGTCACCTGAATTTTATGTAAAATTCTCACGAAATGTTAGTTCCTATAATTCCCCTTTTTCAAGGCTTCTTTCCATTTAATTAAAAAAAATTAAAAAATGAAAACTTAAGACCTTAATTAAATAAATACTAATCAAAATTATATATATAAAATTCGTATTATTAGTAATATACTTTTAAAAATCAATATATTTAAATTTAATTATAATTTTTTAATATAAAATTTTATAATTTAATAAAAAAATAGATATTTTTCATAAAAAAAATGAATGAAAAAAGAAAAAAAATTACAATAATACAATTTATTTTTTTCATAGAAAATAAAGATAAATATTAAGAGAAGAAAAGAAAGATAAATATAATATAATCAATAGAAAAAAATAATTTTAATCATACATGTCCATGGAATGTTAAATTAAAGAAAGACTGAAACTTTTTTTTTTTTTTTTTTTTTTTTTTTATTTTAAAAAAAAACTTTTTTTTTTTTTTTTTTGTGAAAGTCTACAAAAATCCCGTGTTAATAAGAGACAAATTTTAAGATATTATATGAATACTTTCTACTTAAAAGTTAGTACTCTAGAGACTTTTATAAAAGTCTCTGAAAATCATTAAACTTTGAATATTCCAAGACTTATAGGGACTTCTAAATAATTTTAATTGAATACATCGTAAAATTTATAAAAGTCTCAATTTAATACACCGTGACTTTTAGAGAGTCTCAAAAAATCTCAATTGAATACCTCTAGACTTTTTAAATCCTAAAAAGTCGTTAAAAGTCTCGATTGAATACACTCCCTTAGGCTCCGTTTGATTCTACATTTTTCTCTATATATTTTTTAACTACACATTCTTTTTTAAAGCAATACTACACGTAAATAAAAAACTTTTCCTTATTTTTCATATACACATTTTCCATCAATCTACTATTTTAAAATTCATTTTTCCATGCTAAGTAAGAGTTATGTTTATTTGCTACACTTAATTATGGATAATTAGTAATTTAGTACTCATATATTTGGGAAGTACATAAAATTGCTCAGGCGATTTTTGATTTTGTTTTTGTTTTAAGAAACAAGCAGATCTCAATCGTAATTGACAAAAGATATAATTTTTCTTAACAAGTAAATTTTAATTAATTGTTCTATTTAAGCATTATTACTAGAAAATTTTTGTAAATAATATTTCTTGTATACAAACAAGTCGTTTTCAGTTGCTTCATGCTGATAGTTTGTTCTAAACTCAAAATGAAAATATGAGAAACTATAATAGGACATCCTGAAAATTTTCATTTCAATTTAGAATAATTAGCATCTTGTTCTATTATGGCCTTCATTGACTGATTACAAAAATTTATAGATTCAGAGTCTATTTGAGTTCCTTTTTTAGCTAAGAATGTATTTTAGAATAATAAATTGATAGTGAATGTGTAAAGGTAAGGAAAAGTTTTAAATTTACGTGTAATATTATTTCATTAGAAAATTTGCGATTGAAAAGAAGAGAAAAAAATATATTTTGCAAATAATGAAAATCAAACAAGTGCTCAATTTTTATTAATGTTTTCAAAATTTTGCAAGTAGTAGGCGCTTCTAGGCCCCTTCCCAGCTACTGGATTCTGCCATAAATTACAGTGGAGCCATTTCATGAGGAGGGAGGCTAAGCACAGTTCTTTGAATTAAATGTAGAAAGCAATCGATTCATTTTTAAAAACCTAAACCGGATAGGATATATGGATGGATCTCTCTCTCTGTTCAAGGAAAGCATGCTTTTAATCAGTTACAACAATATGGCAGACGAAACATTGCCCATTGCTCTTTCTTCGCAGCTACCTGAATCATTGATATTTCGTTCTCAGGTAAAATGCAGACGACCTGCTTGCACGATTGTAATATTTATAATTCCCTCAGAGTTCAACTGCCATGTGCTAGTCTTTTCTATTCAATCTCATGTTTCTTCACTGAATCACTTAATTCATCAACTTTGTTAGATAACCCAGCTACTACCAGGTACCGCCTTCACCCCTCTCTCCTTCATTTCTCTTGTAACCTTTTCAGCTTCCTCATATTTCTCCTTGCTAGCATAAATTCGTGCCAGCAGTACATAATTAGCTGGATTCTCTGGTTCTATTTCAAATAAAGCCCTACCAGCTACTTCTGCTAGTTCCACTTCCCCATAAGTTCGACAAGCTCCAAGAAGCGCTCCCCAGGCTTTTGCAGTTGCTTTTATTTTCGTCCCTTTTAAAACTTCGTATGCTTCGTATAGTCTCCCAGCTCTACTCAAAACATCCACTAGACAAGCATAGTGATCCCCATTTGGTTCTATGCCATAATAACTATGCATTCGAGAAAAGTGCATACGTGATTCGTTAGCCAATCCCGAATGACTACATGCCTTCAGTACTCCAAGAAAAGTGATCTCATCGGGCTTTACGTTTGACATTGCCATTTGTTCAAATATCTCGAGTGCCTTATTGGCCATCCCATGCAGTGCGTAGGCAGATATGAGGCTGCTCCAGGCAACCACGTCTTTTTCGCCGATGCTCTCAAACACAAGATGTGCTTTATCAAGACACCCACATCGCCCATAGGCTTCCACTAGGCCACTCCTAAAATGCGGCTGTGCATCAACATCATTCCTTATTGAATAGCCATGGATCTCTTTAATCAAATCCAATGCTGCAATCCCCACACAAGCACGTAATAAAGCAAGCAGTGTAATTAAGTTCGGCTTCAAACTCATCTCCCACATTTTTCTATAGAAAGCCAGCGCGTCAAACAACTTCCCCTCTATTTCCAACCAACCCATGATAATCGTATTAAAAGTCGACGCATTAGGCAATTCATCCATCGCCTCGAACAACTGCAAGGCATTCTGCATATTCTTAGAATGCGTGTACAGCGAAATCATGGAGTTCCACACAACAACGTTTCTTACACACATTTCATCAAACAGTTGGCGAGCAGAGGAAATGGAGACGCATTTTCCATACATGTCGACAAGACCGCAGGCAACAAATGGATTTGTAATGAAAGAGGATTTCAGAGTAAGGGAGTGGATGGACGCGCCAAGAAGCGGGCAGTGGAGGAATGCACAGGACTTGAGGGCGAGAGGGAAAATGAAAGGGTCTAAGGAATGAGATAAAGAAGAGTGGATTTCTTGAAAGAGGACAAGAGCTTGGTGATGGCGGCCTTGATTGACGTGGTGGGTCAGGCGTTTTGTATAAGAAAGCAAGCGGAGAAAGTTCGAAGAGTAGGAGCCCATGCCGGCCTTGGTTTTACGTTACAGTAGTAGAAAGTTGTTTGAAGCAGTAACATTAGTTTTTCATTTCCTAATATTTCATTTTATTCTTAAGCTTTCCAATTTGAATCCAAAATACTATTGAACAAGGATTATTTCTGTGATCCCTAAGATAAGTAGGAAGCAGCCCTTCTCAGTTTATATTTATAAATTAAATTGTAAGCACAAAATATGTCCCCATTTGACCCCCATTTTGTAGAAATAAAAATGGGTGGAATATTATTTTTTTGATAAATAAGTAGTCGAAAAAGAAGGAAATTTTTTTGATTTACGTGTAATATTATTTCATGGAAGATTGTGTAGAAAAAAATAGGAGAGAGAAAAATTGAATGCAATGTAATGGAAAATAATGGAGGCCAAACGGGGGGCTATATGTGAGATATTACTTGATTTATTAAAATTCTTATTTATTCAAACATCAAAATGTGAGTTAACTAAATTTGTGACGCCATCCACTCGACCCTCTTGACTAATTGACTTGAACTAAGAGCTTATTTATCCCATTATTGGAGAAAATATAAAGTTTTGAATAGTATTTTTTGAAGAATGTGTGATTGAAATTTAAAGAAACTTTATTGGTTTGTGTGTGAATATTTTATTGTGTGAATGTGTGGTAGAGAATGTCACTATAATAAACAATTTAATTTATTAAAGGGTGACAAACAAGGACCAAATTTTCACTTAGCGTCTGTTTGAGTCCCTTTTTAAGTTAAATAATGCATTTGAAATAATAGATTGATAGAAAATATGTAGTTAAAAAATAAATAAAAGTTTTTAATTTGCGTGTAATTTTTTTATTTAAGAATATGTGGTTGGAAAAAGTGAGAAAAAATGTATTTTAAAAATAATGGAGTCAAATAAGGGCTTAACAATCAAGTAATTATACTTTAATTTGATTTCATCGTAATTATACTTTGATTTTATTTCAATTAAACTAATTACGCTTTATTTAGTACCTATGTTCAATTTCGTCAATATAGTTTGATGAATGGACAATTAATAAATGATATACGTTTCTCATAATCATTAGTTGCTAAAGTTAATAAGTTTAACTTCATTAATACAAATAACGATCATCGTTTTCTAGTTGTCATTTCTTTGTTTCCCTCCGTCCAAATGACATAATTGACGTAGCCATCCATCTAAAATCAAATTAAAATATGAATTTGTCTTCTCTTTGCGGAAGGAGTCCAAATGAGTTGTGGGAACCTGGGAGCCAACAAGGGCACATCCTGCGATTTACCTCCCTGAGCAGCTGAGGGGCCGGAGGTTCAGGGACAAGGATCTAGTCGGACGCAAGCCCGGACACCTTGTAAAAAAAAAAAATATATGAATTTGTCTAGTTGTACATAATGGGGTGTACCGAATGGTGTACAACCCACTCACATGGGTATGGAATCCATGTGAAAGAAAGGATATTTTATTCGAATGGGTTCCTCGTCCATGTGAGTGGCGTGTACACCTCGATGTACCACTAGTACAACCGTTAAAATATTGTTGTTTTAACAAAAAAGTGACAAAAATTTAAAAAATAATGGCTGAAATTTAAAAAAAAATGATGGATTCAAAAAGTGACACAAATTTAAAAAAAGTTACAGAATTCAAAAAAAGTGATACAAACTCAAAAAAAATGTGACAAACACTCAAAAAGTAAAATTAAACATAAGATATAACTTTATTTTAGAAACACAATATCCTGTAAGTTCAAAGTGACAAAAGTTCAAAGAAGTGACGAAATTAAACAAACGAAAGATAACATTTATAATAGTTCAACAAATAATATACAGCACTATAATGCATGAGAATTGGCAAAATGTAGTCTTATTCGGGCTCACTGCAAAATACCCATCTTTTTACTCTAAGCTGATGCGTGTTAACATAATCTGCAATTATCTTGGTTATATTTAAAATAAATAAGCTATCTACAATTCATATCTCACTAATTTCTACTACATAAAGAATCTCTAAATAGTTATATCCACAAAACTCAAAGGCCATAACACCTAAGAACATGGTATCATAATGTTTCATTCAATAACTCACATAGTACAGAAGTAGTTTAGGCGTCCAAGCGAACAAGATGTCTCTGCATCATCCCCACATATGCAACTTCCCGATTTTGCTTAATCGTGCAAATATCACTTACGTTTGAACTTTGAGCCTCTAGAACAAAGCAAAAATCAATTTGCTTCTCGTCTAAGTTCTCCCTATAATTGTGAAGTCGACGACCAATCAAATACCTATCATCATGTATAGAGTTGTGGAGGTTGGCAAACCAACATGGAACCACCTGGCTTTGATGAACAACAGACTAAAGCTAAGGTATCCCAACTAGGCAAATTGATATACAGCTGAGTTCACCGCTATCGGGTACCCAAATAACATAAAACACGCCTCTAACACAAGGAACACACAATAAAGTCAGCAGGTTCAAAATGATTGGGAAAACAATCTTGCACAGCACCAAAAGACCTTGTAGTCTAGAGAAGCCATAATCCCTCGCCATTTCGAATTTTTATATGCCAACTTTCATCCACCAGTGGCATCATGTGATCCAACAAAACTTGATTTTCTCTTCATCCCATTCGATTCACTTTCTTCAGTCACGATTCGAGTCTATAATCAGTGGTGTCACGTGAGTGGAGCCTTTAATGAGTGAATGAATTGCCTTCTTCTTTGGATGGGTGACGCTGCTACTGCTTCTTCTCTTGGGTGAATCGTGAGTTTTATGACGGTTAGGGATTTCTCTTTGTAATCAATTGGTTTTGGAAATTTTGGGACGATTTTAGGACGTATTAATTACAGTTATTAAAGGTTTTTATTTGTTTTAAGTATGTTTATCTAATTTGTTCATTTTTTGCAGTAGTGGGCCTAAGTTCCCCTTAAACTAATAAAAAACCCCACTTATTGGTGAAGCCCAGCACCATAAAATTGAACGAGTCCCACCAAAATGCTATCTTCCATTACTTCAAAATTCTAGACTAATCTGAGCAATTACAATTCGATATAACGTTATTATCATTGTTCGAATATCCTCAATATCCCTAATTACGGCGTTAGTTTGTGGATGTATGTGAAAGGGATTTGGGGCTCCACCACCGCTTCACATGTGGGCAGAAATTACCATGCAATAGTAAGTTCTAATTTTTATTTTATTTTTTTAATTTTCCTTTTCAACTTTTGAATTAGTGGAAGTCTCTTGTAGACTTTTATGAACTTTCATTTTAAAATTTTTATAAACTTTTGTGGAATTCAAAAGGCTTTTGAAAACTTTCATTTGAAATAAAATTCACGTACATCTAGCACAATGGTGTGAAATTTTTGTATATGAGGTGTTGGTACCCACAATTTTCCATCCTTTCCCTTCTTCCCATAAAATAATAAAAATTTGAAAAAAAAATATAAATTGAAGACCTTAATTAAATAAATAATAAAAATTATACATAAATATAATTCAATATTATTAGTATAGTATACTTTTAAAAATAAATAAAAATCAATATATTTAAATTTAATTATAAATTTTTCGTATAAAATTTTATATTTTAGAGTACTTTCTGCTTAAAAGTTAGTACTTCAAAATTTTTTATAAAAGTCTCTAAAAGTCATTAAAATTTGAATACTCAAAGACTTATAGAGACTTCTAAAAAGTTTTAATTGAATACATCATAACTTTTAAAAACTTTTTAAAAGTCAATGAAAATTTCAATTGAATACACCGTGACTTTTAGAGACTTCTTAAAAGTCTATAAAAGTTTCAATTGCATACATCGTGACTTTTGGAGAGTCTCAAAAAGTCTTAATTGAATACCCTTAAACTTTTTAAATCTCAAAAAGTCATTAAAAGTCTCAATTAAATACAATCCCCTAAGTGATTTGGTGTTTCTTTTTCAATACTTACTGGTTATTAAGCTTTCCAAATGTAGTTGTATCATTTGATATGATAACCATGCGTTCTGTAGTAACAACAAATAATTGCATTTCTAGATCATAGGTAAAAAATTGGTAAATTGGCAGTGAATTAGTGCCAGTGTAATATGTCCGACAATGTTTGTATCTCATCTTAATTTGGGTATCAGAACAATGTAATGAAATATAGACTAATCCATACAAAAATCAAGTGAAAAATGTGAGGAAAGGCTATTGGACTATGAACTTAATTTGATATGATATTCGTTCCTTTCTGTCTGTGCTGTGCTCTATGAGTTTTGGTGGACATATTTTTTTGTCAAAGTGACTGAGTGTGGATAAACCAGATTTCGGATGTCACTGCAAACCAGTTAGTTAGGCATCTTGTAGTTTTTGATACCTGCTCCGTTCAGAATTTCTTTTTGGCATTGCAATTGAACTAACTTCGTATCCCCAATTTTGTAGTGGTGTGTAAGTGGAATAGGATTGTGATTTTTGCTTTGGCCCAGTTGCATTGCTTTAGAAGATATACGACTATGCCAATGTAAGCTTTGTACCACAAATTGAATATTTATTACTGCTGATACAACAACTTTCATAATGAACATATGGTTTATCTTTTTCAATTTTCAGAAATCATGGCATTAAATATTATGTAGTTAGTCAAATAATCTTTGAAATTTATTAATCTTTTGGTGATTTTTGACTCAATTGAACGTCTTTGGAAGTAAGTTTGCTTACTTCTTGCAAAGTATATGAATGTGTCATTTTGATCTCATTGCGGCCATCTTTCTAAAATAGGGTTATGTTAAATCCATTTCGATCAGAATCTTTTGGATTTTGGCATTCTTTGTTATATTTAGTAATTCAGTTGGCAATTCATAATCAGTAACAACATAAGCATCTCTTCTTCAAGAAAGCAATGATGAAATTTTGAATGAAATCTATGCTATTATCAAGGACTCTTCCATTTATAGAGAAGAAATCTATACCACTTAAGTTAACAAACTCAGTGCTGCTGGAGATCTTCTAACTACTGCTGGGCTAATGCATTCGTTATGTAAGAAGCACATATTCTTTGACCCTTGCACATATGAGCGCCTTCTGGATGTTGCAGGTGAAAAAAATGATATTGACCTGGTCTTCCAAATTTTCAAGGACTTTTTGGTGTTTTGGGACTCAATAAGTTTAACTTCATATCTTATCCTTGCTAGAATGTTTGTGAAGCTCAATGATCCTATCATATTACTGAAATTTATCGGAGAAATCTCAGAAATGGTGTTCCGTTGAAATGAAATAGTTCTGAACAGATTTATCTTTGCCTTTGATAAATGCAGACATGTTGACAAAGCACTTTCGCATTTGATCATATGAAAAGTTAGGAATGTAAACAAGACTTGGATACATATAATACCATTTTGGGAATTTTGGGTTGGCTTGGAAAAGTAGATGAAATGCTACATGATTTTGCTGCTATGGAAAAGATTAATCTTGTTCCAAATATTGTAACATACAACACCTTATGAACCAGCTTGTAGAAGGTAGTTAGATTTGATTTGTGCTTAATATATTTCAAAGAAATGAGTGAGAGAGGAGTTCAACTGGATTTGCGAACTTACAAACTTTGATTGAGAGCTTAGGCAAGTTAGTAAAAGTTGAGGAAGCATTGAAAATATTTGAAGAGATGAAATGGAAGAGGATCCATCCATCAATTCACATCTACCGAGCTCTAATTTTCAGTTTAAAAAGGACAGGGAGGACCTTGTTGACTTTGGAATTGTCCAAAGAGATGAACGAATGCCTTTCAGATGTTGTTAGTCTATATGTTGTCTGTAAGGTTTTCTTGATAAAAAATTATGTACTTGGATCATGATTCAACTAATAGTGATTTAATACATCAATTAATTGATTAATAATTTAATCGTAACTCTAGAAATTAAATAATTCACCAATTAGTTCAAATGTGATGTCATCATTGCTTAGCATAAAGTTAAGCAATGGTGCACAATAGATCATACAAACTAACCTTTCGCCTAGATAGTGCAATTTGAAGAACTTACCAGTATGATTCTAAGGGGGAAAAATGACAACTTTATATCCCGTGTGCCATATATATAATACATGACACCATGAGTTAGTATTATACTTTGCCAACTTGTCTTAATTACCATCACTATCCTTCAAAGAACAAACTTATGATTGTCCATAGCCCACGACAAATCTAATCCCTTGCCAATAATACCATGTATGAATATAAATTTGAGACTTGAAACAGCATGCGTCAAGTCGCATGAATTAAACTGTTGCACAATTGTTTACAACATTTGTCTATATCAGAGAATAGAAAGTCTTTGGAAAAATTTTGTAATAATTAATTGCATTGACTTGGCGTGAAGCCCAAGCTGGGTCTTTGCTGTCTATATCATCGAATACGAATTATAATTTTTAAGTTTCATAAATTCGTGATAGATTAAAATTTTTAAATATTATATTAGAATACAAAAAATATTTTGATTTCAAGTCTCGTTGTTTTTAACTTATGAAACTTTATACATCAGTTATTTGATAAAAAATGAGTTGAACGTGCAATTGAGTCGCGTTGAATTTAAATTTTTAGATAAATTTTTCTTTCCAAAAAATATGGATTTAATATACTTGAACGTGTTATTCACTGGTAGACCAAAGGCACATAAGGTCATTGTTTGCCCAATTATATACATTAATGACATATAATCATTTGCAAGTGAGTGGGAATCTTCATAGAAAAGAAAATTATTCAAACTGATATTGATATTTGGTTTCGCATATATTAATCCATGAATTACTTACACATTGTTACTTAGATTATGTTAAGTAATAGTGAGATAACACTTGAATTAATTGATGAATAAATTAATTGTAAGTCTAGAAATAAAATAATCAACAAATTAGTTCAAATATCATGTAATCATCGCTTTGCATAAGTTAAGCAATGGTGCTGAGTAGATCATACAGCCTAACTTTTAGCCTAGACAGTATTCTTTGAAAAACTTACCGGCATGATTTTAAGAGTGAAAATATGTTAACTTTATATCCCATGTGCCATGTTCATAATACGTGCCACCATAAGTTAGTATTACACTTTGCCGACTCTTAATTATCATCCCCATCATCCTAAGAACAAACTTATGTTTTTCCATAGCCCATCTATGGCAAATTTAATCCCTCACCGACACCACCATGTGTGAATATAGAGATGAGACTTGGAAAGACATGCATCAAGGGGCATGCTTTGTGAGAGAGTTGTGTCGTGCCGATCCAATTAGCTTTCACACGGTCCATGAGTAGAAGGAAATTGAATTCTTGTCTAGCTACACCCAAGAATCTAATATATATTAGTTTCGACGTAGTTGAAATTAAAATAGTATTTCTCGTATATATCTTATTGAAGCACATAATTTGTTGTGTGATTGTTCACTGCATGTCTATATCATAGAACAGAAAGCCTTTGGAAGAATTTTATATAACTTAATTGCATTGACTTGGTCAGAAGCCAAGTCACACTTGCGTAACAGCTGGATATTCATCGTCTATATCATTAAATACAAATTATAATTT